TATATTCTAAGGGAGAGAAGGTAAATCCCTGGCCTAGGCAATATTTGTGTGAAATTTATTAAAAAAACATGTTCACAACCATGGAATGCGGCCAGGATTACTTGGGTGCCAGGGACAAAGGTAGAGAGCCAAACAATCCCAATGCTGCTGGTAGTGCCAAGTCCTGGGACGCCGTGACCGTAGGCACCAAACAAGACTTAAGTTAGCGGCATTTAGAAGTTGTATACTATCACCAAAACGCTTGAATCATCAGAACCGTGCCTCAAGCCTGAACCATCCCCGATCAGGATCACAATATCCTACGTGGGACCAGTCAGCCATCAGATAGCCTGACTAATCAAGAGCAAAGCGAGCTTTGATGTAACTTTCTCTAGCGGTACAACAATTAAGACACTCCTCCGGGCAAATGGAAGAGGATCTAGCAATGGAAGTCCCAACCCTAGAGGATGTATATACCAAATACCATGCAGCTGTGGCAATCAATATATTGGCAAGACTCTCAGGCCCATCAACACCCATGTTGCTGAACACAGGTCGTCAGCTATATCGGAGCACAAGGCAAATAACCCAAATCATGTAATCATGTGGGATGACATCAGGGTGCTTTCGAGCAATAACAACGACTGGCGTTGGAGGAAACTACAGGATGCTGTGGAAATAAGACATAAACCGGCAATGAATCGTGATCAAGGTGTCTATCTGCCAAGCGCGTGGGACCTATTGATTAACTTTTGATGAACTTTTGATAAATGTGAAGCCTATTATGTATTAATTTTGAAAAGCCTACTATCAAGTAATTATTGTGTAATTAGCAATCATTGTGTATTAACAATTCAAGTTTCAAGTCTATTATCTAGCATGAATTAATCATCATTATGTAATTAACACTTCAAGTTTTCAACTTCACTTATACTGTACTCTTCCTTGTGTATTGTGATGTCACATGCATTGTGACATCATAACGCACAACAAATAGCGAATACAGCTTGAGTTGAGGCTAAGTCCCATAGCACCAACATTGTGGTATGATAAGCTGGCCCGTCAGAAAGCGATGCCATGGACTGATCTGATACAGGGGCATAGTAGATCAGCCCGGACTGACTTTGCCCTGTGGCCGCTGCCAGTAGAACAGGAGTAGCCCTACAAAATGTGCCATGGTAAACAAGGACATTTAGAGCTGTGGGATGGAATGGTGGTAGATCCCCGCGGTCCAGTAATGCTTTCCTCTGTAAGGTCTGGGAATATCGGAATGAGAGGCTGACTGTCCACATCAATATGTATATCACCGGAATGACGGTCCGTAGCCGTGGTAAAGATAGGTGGTGACGAGGCTAAATCAGCTGCCGTAGTGCCCTCCTGAGTGGCATTACCAGCTGGTCCGGCAGAGCTTGACCCGTGGTCATGTCTGGGACGGTGGTTTTAATTGTCAGCTGTGACTCTGTTTGCCCTGTGGGCGCCGAAGTGACACAGACTGAGTAGCCATGGCCATGGGAAATTCGCCATGGTGAGCTGTGAGTATCCGAGGCATGGGATGTAACAGCTTTAGATCCAGGCAGTCCATCCGTAGTTGAGTCAGGTAGGGGCGTGGCAACCATAGCAGACAATTCATTCCCAGGTAGGGTGGCCGAGCTATGAGAGGATGAACGTAATAGAACGCTTAATGTCCTTTTTAAAGAAGCTAAGCTGTTAAAAAAACTTGAGCTGAGCCAAATGATGTGGTAAGTTCATTGTAAGAGATGACAAAACGATGATAGTGGACACGTCTATGGTCTGAACAGAGGATTGAGGTGAAACAATAGGAGATGTTAGATGATGTAGACTTTCCCACAGGTACAGTGGATGAAGAAAGCGTATGTTTCTAGTTTGTAAGACATGCTTCATTCATTTTAAGCCAGTCTTGTTCAGTAAGACCTGACATAACAAAACACCTAGAATTAAGTGAACAAGGAGGGTCCTGTGAACAAGATATACATAAGGAATGGGGGTCCTAGTCTGAGCTGAACTTGACATCCTACGCACTTCATCTATGACATAGTAGCTTAAATGTTAAGTACAATGTTCAAGAATGAAAAAAACAGGGCGGGGGAATATCAGTCACAAAACCAAAAGTCAATTAAATATATGATTGTCGGAAGACCAATGCGATATTACTAACCAGTGAGTTCAAAAGGTTGAGTAGTAGAGGACAAGGACTTATGAAGAAACAAACATATGAGATTTCCAAAGGACAGTCCAAACACACGTGGTCACACAGTGGTTACAGAGGAAAATATGAAGATTCGACATGGAAGAATTGAAGAGAGTAATTCAGGGGAAGTAACCACTGATACTCTTTGGACTCAACCAGGAAATTCCCTCCCTTGAATTTTTTGTTCTGTATCTTATTCTAAAGGATAGTCTGTAACACATCACTAAGTGAAGAGGAAATGGCTAACACAACCCAGAAGGAATGTTTAGGCCTATAATTGTGTGCATACACATGCTTGGACATGTTGTAGATAATACTCTTTTTTTACCTGCCTTCATCTCATAGAAAATAACAAATATATACAACTATGATATCACTATGCCAATACTGGCAACCAAGTGTGACAAATTAGCATGTTCAGGGACAAATTAGCATGTTCAGGGACAGTTTCTTTGTTCAAAATTGTAGTATCTGAACATACTGTTCTGAACTAAACTTTATATATATGTTTAGACATATCTGTATATATGCAAAACAACTGTTCTGTTCAGTTTAAGTATTAATATACAATAGTTGTATCATTACATTCAGTTGACAGTCCTGAAATTGCATGTGAAATTTACATCAGAAACATATCACCAGGTTTGTTCAATATTATTTACTCAGGTTATTCATACTTGTTGGTTTTTAGATTCATACCTCATTGAACCGAAAAAAATACAGTCAATCCTTTTGATTAAATTAAAAAACAACAGGAGTAATTTTAACAGAATAAGCCCACATTAGTGTGAGAAAGATCATCACTGACAGCGTATGAATATGTCATACGCTAAAAATAATATATGCTAAACAAAGGCAATCATATCTGGTTTTCACTGCAATTACTTTGTATGCAATAGCTTTTCATAATAAAATGATATAATTCTACATGATTTATTGATAATTAACTAGTATACTATAAGACTCTGAAATGTGCACAAAGTCAACACAAGCGACAAGTAGGTGAGCCTAACAATTTCACTCGTGAAGAAATTCGATGTTGATGTCATGTATAATTAAATAGCTTTGATACCTTATAAATGCTAGCTAATTATCTTACCTGAAGAGTTTTTCTTGTTTGTACAAAGTTAATTCAGTTAAAGACTAGAGAGAAAATTAATGCACGTTTCTTTCACGACAAAACGTTGTCATCAAAGGGATATAGTTGGAGTGTACATTGTATTGACAGTGGCACCAGCGGATCACCGTTGAACATTTATGTAATATATGTTCTTTTTCCTACCAAATAGTTAAACCTAGCAACATTATAATCTGTAAAAAGCTTCTGTAGATGAATAGACGACTCAAAATAGGAAAAAATGCCATAGTGTAAAATATGCTTGTTTCTTTTGTGGACATTTCAATGCACAGTTTTTTTTATCTCAGTGTTTGTTTCCATGCTTCATTTATTTCATATTGATGGGTCGTAGAGACCATTGAACATTCGATTCAAATCACCATAAAGAATTAAAGAATGCATGTTTCGCAGCTCAGTTATAAATATGTAGACATGGAAAAAAAGTATTAAAGCACCCCCATATTTTTAATAGTATCAATTTCTTTACATTAACCATAGGAATGGAACATATCCAAACCTCAAATTATCTTAATCTCAATATAAATTGACCCTCAAGGAGGATGGCAATTTAAAAAAAAAAAAGAAGGAAAAGCTGTAGTCTATTCATAGAAGAAACGTGGCAAAAACATTTACTCATTTTGTAGTACTGATAACTATGGTCATATGACATTAACAAATGCAGTGATTTTCAAGATTCTGGCATGCAATGCTCAAGAAAACACATAGGTATCAATACCCAAGTACAATGTCAATATCTGGTGTAACCTCCAACTGCAATAACATCTCTGACACTCCTCCTGATTGACTATCAATTGAATTTGACATTTTGGTATTGCATTCCATTCTTCATGCAGGGCTGGATCAAGATTTTGTACTGGAAGATTTGTGGTGTATTCTCAATTTCCCAAATATGTTCTATGGGATTCAGTAGGGGTGAAACGGTATACCGTGGTATTAGTAGAACTGCGGTATTTTGCCTTCGGTTCTTTATACCAAAATGCAGTTCAAAAGTTTAGTATTTTCGGTTTTCATACCGTCATTTTTTTCCCCCGCCGCAACGCGGAACGGGGACTATGTATTCAGCGGTGTCTGTCCATACGTCCGTCTGTACGTACGTCCCGATTCTTGTTAACGCGATATCTCATGGACTGTTGTACCCAGTGTCTTCAAATTTGGTGACAGCCTACATTGAGAGATTACGCAGACACCATTTGATTTGGGTGACCTTGGCCTTATTTTCAAGGTCACCATGACACTTTGCACACTTTTAACTCTTGTTAAAGTGATATCTCATGGACTGTTGTACCCAATGTCTTCAAATTTGGTCACCACGACACTTTGACCGCTTTTCAAACTTATTTAAGCACGATATCTCATAAAAGATTGCACCCAATGTTTTCAATTATGTTGACAGCCTACATTGGGTGATTATGCAGACACCAGTCATTTCAGGCATCTTGTATGTGACCCAAAAAATTAAAAGCAGTAAATTTCTAAATGTCTGGAAATCAAATCATTTTGTCAAAATCTATGCATTTTTGTAATAGCTCTTGTCAATTTTCTGCATTATGGGTCAAAGAAAGTATGTGTCATTTTATTTGTTGTTTGTCTGACTAGGCAAACAATTCACTGGTTGTATATCAAATTATTAGATTGTCAGATTAGTCTGCTGGTAATTTAATTCTTGTCCTCTCAATCTATCAGAGACAACACAGAATTGGAAGATGAAGAGGGTGTTGAAGAAACTGATGCCGCTCAATCTGGAAAACTGTTTCTTATTCCAAGTGATCACAGTTTGATCAAGTGTGCCTGCTGCAAGATGGCCATTGATGAACCATACAGAGAGAAAAATCCCAAGTAAGATATTTAAAATTATTGTTCTCAGAGTACAAATTGATGGAGGTTAAAGTGATCATGTCTTTCTCTGTGATTATCGCAGCTGGATGGACAGACTTATCATAAATCTGTCCACATTATCTGAAATATGTGGGCCACTGTAACTTAAATGTAGTCTAATGACTGGCATCTGATGTTGCTATGTGACGTCATAATAAGCATGTGCCAATTAGTTGATTCACCAGCTAACATGGACATAAAAAAATTATGTCCAATGCATTTGGTGATGAAACAGTTTGATTGTACAAGCGCTTCATGGGCCTGCGGGATGTTTTGTGGGTCCAGGGCTTCAGTTTTATTGCTTTATTTGGCAGTAAGAGTGATTTAGATGGAGAGCTTGACAGTCTTCAGATGGAAGAAATGTCAGCTAATACACTGTGTGAGACAGTATGCATAATCAGGTGAGTTTTATATGGAAATTATTCATTTTCTGATGAAATTAATCAAAATATTGTCAACTTTGTTCACAACTATTTTACCCTGACAAAACGTTTCTCCATCTAATTTCCTCTATATCATGTATTGTTGATTTACTATTATATTATTACTTATTGCTGTGACTTTAAAGTGTGTTTTTCAGTGTTGATAAACAAACTTTATATAATGTATCATTTTTGTATCGGAGAGGTATTCATATGGGGGTAATGCCTGATTACCGATCCATTCAGTTATTGAATAAAATAGTTTAAATCAGGTGAGTTGAAATTGAATGAGATGCATATTATCATCTAGGCCAGAAAATGTCATAGAATTAATCAGTACGTTAGGTTCACTTATATTACATGTAGTCAACTCCATGTTTTGTTCAAATGCACTGAAGTCCCAATTTTTACTTGTCATAGATGCCGAGTTGAGGCTAGTTTTCAACAAAATCATGTCAAGTGACCTGGTTCCAATGCTTTAGAAGCTTTATGCTGAATGAAAGACAGAACTATCAAATCCTCGTGGATATACACCGAAAACTGAGATCCCCACTGTGGAACAGCAGGAGACAGCGGGAGAGCTGGCAGACATTGAGAATGGCACAGACAAACCAGAAGAAAGCCAAGCCAGAGATTTGAAGGGACGAACTGTCTAGTCAGTCCAGCCCATCTACTGCCCAAATGTCTGCGTCACTGTGCAGCCTTCACTTGGTAATCTCTGCCAGAGATTTTCTACCAATCAACGGACACCCAATTGACAAACAGTCTTTTGACACACACTGAACTAAAAGGTTAATTAGGGTAACACCTACAGGTATAATGGAACAGTCCACTGTCTAGCGAGTAGAGTGGGGAGAGCCTGAAACAGGTTCATTTCTGAGCAGTTTGATTGTGTGTAAATAGAACTTTGTTGTGATTAAATGATAATCTGTCTTCTCAAAATTGATTTTACTATCAATTATGTACTATCCAATATAAAAACAGGTTTGTCACCGAGAAGTTTGATTGTGTGTATATGTTACAGGGAATGTGTGAAACCAGGGATTTCACGTTATCTCTGAAAGAGTCGGTGATTTCATGAAATCGCTGTGACCCCCAGGGATTTCACGTATTCCCTAAAATTTCAAGGCATTTCATGAAATTACTTATTTTCATGGTGTTCCATAACACACATTCCTGTTAGGATATCAGTGAATGTGTGAAATTAATGTTTGTAGCTTAAATGGACACTGATCCAGAGCCATTCCCCGGGAATAGTTGTTGCTTTTGTTATTGTTTTTTCCCTGCAACTACCCAGATGATATCCCAGAATTCTTGATTGGGTGGAATCTCTGTTGCACAACATGCAAGCGCAACTGATAGTATAAGTATAATATGTATATCCTTACATAAGATGAAATCTATTTTACTCATTAACAGGGTGTCAAGCAAGTCCTATATTCCTATTAAATTCTATAATTTGGACACTATCCTATAAAATCCTATAAAGTCCTTTTATTTTGGTATGTTATCCTATAAAAAAATGTTATTTTTCAGACATCTGCTGCATGTGAACCCTGCATTTAGCCGATTTGCTACAGCTAAATAGTAATAGCCAGATTTTGTTTCAGTGATGAAATTGCCTTTTTATGTGTCTTTTCCAATGGCACTTGTTTTAGGCTGAAGTGTATTTTGTGAACCTAACTAGTGAAACATCCAGTCTTAACCAGAGATTCTTGCCTTTCTGTAGTTGTGAAGCCCTTTTCTAGTGTCCCGCACCGTGATATTGCTGGAATATTGCTAAAAACGGCATAAAACTAAACTACTCACTCACTTTCTGTAGTTTGGATGTCAGAAGCAATGAATTGGAAGCCCGTATCCATATGTAGTGCACAACAGTGATGGAAAGGGATTAGAAGCATATGGAAAGGAGTGTGAGCAATTAGCCATGGATCTCCACACCCTCTTCAAATACTCATCAACAAGAAGAGAGTATTACAGGGATATTCAGCTGGATTTGGATCTAGAACAGCACATGTTCCTGCAGCATACAAGTTTGAGGTGTTTGTCCATAGGACCATCAGTTTCTAGGATACTACAACAGTGTCAAGGGATTGTTGAAGATCTACAGACAGATAGAAAGAAAGCTCCACAGAGTTCAGCTTTCAAGAGAATACAGATCGCTGTGAAGAATCCATTAACCCTTGTTCAGCTCAAGTTCTTAACTTCAGTGGTCACCCTGTTTGAAGACTTTATGTGCAACGTCCAGCATGACAAACCACAGATTCATCTCCTTTATGAGCAAATGTCAAACCTGTTGAAGACCCTGCTGCTCAGATCTGTAACGAGTGACCTACTTGAAAGTTCAACGTCTTCAGGTTTAGCCAAAGTTGATGTTTCAAGGTCCAACCAAGTGTCTGACAGTGATCTCACCATAGAAGACGCTAGATAACAGATGAAAGCCCTGAAAGAAGATCAAAGGAGACTGATTTTTGGGGGCATTTTTGGGCATGAGGTTTTTCTGTCTGACTGTGGCAAGTTTCTTACAGTCAAGACTTCCATTCAGAAACAAGCTGCTCAGATATATGTCCTGCTTAAATCCATTCAAGAAAACTGAAGGAACTGTTACTCATGTTGAATATCTGGCCAAGGCTTTCCATATCCCTTCTACAGAAGTGGTCCACGTCCTAGATGAGCGGCAAATGTGTCTGTTGGACAAGAACATCAGGGTCACAGATGAAAACATGAGAATTGATCACTACTGGAGCAATGTGTTCAGGCTGACCACACCAAATGCATCTCCAAGGTATTCCCACCTTTCAAGAGTTGTGAGGCTGCCCTTGTTTTGCCTCATGGAAATGCAGATGTAGAGAGGGGTGCCTCTGTCAACAACAACATTGTCACCCTGGAGAGAAATCAACTGAGTGAGGACACCATTAATGGCTTCAGATCAACAAAGGACATGGTTAAATTTTCAGATCCCCAGCTCCAACAACCAGAGAAAGTTCCTCTGACCAGATCCATCATATCGGCAGCAAAATCGGCATACTCTGGATCAAAGGAAGCTCACAGAAGAGAAGGATAAGGCTGACAGAGAAAAGAATGAGAGAGAAACAAGAGCAGCAGAGGAAGCAAAGAAAAAGAAAAAGCATGAAGAAATTAAAGCAAAGAACATCAGTGACCATAGATGGTCCTGTGGAAAGGTTTTGAAAAAAGCTAAATCTGGACATAAGAAGTGACTGTGTACTCTCATGTCAATGGCTTTATAGACCCAGAGAAGCGTATTGTGTTACAGTTAAGGTTTTTGTGTTCAGTTTATGATGTTCAAATTATTCATTATGGTTATTTTCATGGTGCTTTGATTTATTTCTTGTTAAAGTGATGGAGAAGGTTGGCTGTAAAGGGAGGAGGAGGCCATTATTTTAGTTTTTAATGGTTCTAAGGATCCTATATTTTTAGGGCACTGCGCCTCTAGGCAGGAGATCTATTGTAATTGTTCGGATTATTATTATTTATTATTCCGCTGATTTTTGTACCAAACATAACTCCTAAACCAATGCTCCGAATTGCTTACAAAAACATCACACAGATGCGCACTGAGTTGTAGATATTCCCCTTGAAAATCTCTAGGCTATAGGCCCAATAGCAAAGGGGAGATAAGTTTGACAGCAAATATCTCAAGAACTAGTTGTTCCAACACTTCCAAATCTCTTGTACAGATGCACAATCGAATTCCCAACAATTTTGCCTGGATGGGTCAAGTTGCTAAAATGTACCGTTTGGCAGTTATTTTTGTTTTCAGTTTTTGGCCATGTTTTTCAGCAGTTTTCAGAGTTGTTTGTTCCCAAAATGTGCAAATTCTGCACAGAAAGTGCCAGTATGGTAGATGAAGACTTGGTGATTCCAGAACACTAATTGTTTTGACCGTAGACCCAAGAACAACGGAGATACAGCCTTTTAAAGAGGGAACTATTTCTTCGGATCTTCTTAAAAGGTACGTCACCCCCGCGACCCTTGCTGTATTTGGAAGATCCGCTCACCTGTCAAAAATGTGTTCTGGCTCCGTTTTGGACGATGATTTCTAGCCTCATATACAATAGATAGAACTAAAGCCAAGGAGCCTTCATCGTTGCCTGCAACTATATTTAGGATCCATTATTATGGCAACAAATGAACACAATTCGACATTTATATGCCAGTTATACAAAATGTTAGGACTGAAAAAACCTGAAGTCAATGAATGTCTTTATAGTTTTGTCTTATAATCCTAATGTATTTATCAGTATATTTTTATGCATTTTTGAAAATTCATAAAAGTAAACAACCTGTTCGAGTGAATATAAAAGGACTGTAATATGTAGACATTTTATACATTGCCAACGTGGATCCCCCTCTGCCTCAGTGATACCACTAAGCCGTAGATTATTTCTGCGAGAGTACTGTTCACTTCGGTCTAACCTCTCAGTTAATGTCTCAATAACAGTATCTCTCTCTTTAAGTTTACAGTTTAGGTCATCAATCTTTCCCTCCAGTTCCAGATTCTTGGCTGTCAATTGTTCG